AAAAAGCTTTAAGCAAACTCAAAGAAATCATATGAAAGGGTTAATTCTGTCATTTCCAGTCCTGAGGCAATACTCTCTCTCCCTCGTGTTCTACCGGTCTTTTTATACTTGGCGAGTCCCAGGGAAATGGGTGGAAGATGTGGAAATCCTACTGCAAAAGCACCTGCCCGCTCCTTTCCTTTCCCCAGAGAGCAACACACAGAACATTCTATTATTTAGTTAATTGCAAAGAAACAATTAGAAAGGAACTTGGCAAATTCTCTCTAATCACAGCGAGACCCATTGCAGTTCAGTAAGTTCAGCAAATTAGCAAATAAAAAGTGAATATAAAAAGGAAAGAATAACACAGCTCAAATTGCACTTTGTTCATTTGCTTTGTCACTTGCAGTTTCTGTTTAATTATTTAAGATATTTCTTCATAACATTCTAGTACATTTTGTATAATAATGAAGGTTTACTAGCATAGAAATGCAATACGTGGCTACTAAATGTCTGCCGAGAGGAGGAAGAAAACTGCCAATTCTGTGTGTAAAATATAGCTTCTTCAGGAAACATTTCCAGGTTAGATAAATAGAAGGTTCTGCCACAATTTGTGTAGGATACAAATAAGGATGATTGCTAGGTAATGACAACGCTAAGTCATGTTTGCGCAGAACGTTGTAACTTTTACTACAGGCATTAATGGTCAATGCCCTGTTTATTTAAAGCTGTTCTAATTTTCCATGCGTATAACTAGAGGCCATTTAAACATAGCCTTTTTTTACAGCAGCACTGTAATCAAATGACAGATTTTACAGTATTTCAGTTCTAAATTCCTATTACAGGAAAGACTTTCAAGCTCCGTTACATTACTGAAGCAGAGCCTCATCTCTGCAGAGCCGACGGACTGAGGAGGGGCAGAGGAGCAAGATCCAGGTGTGATGTTATCTGGCTGATAGCGAGGGAGGTAAGACAGGCATTTACAACAGGCATGATGTCCCCCCTGGTTCTTCCCAGACCATTTTGAGCATCAAGATTTTATGACACATCTGTTCACACGACCAAGAATAGAAGCCCTAAAGGGGCTTGTGCGGTACCCCGCGCAAAGCGTCTTTGAGGCATGCTGGCAAAAAACCTACCCAGTAGAAGGGGAGCTGTTAGAGTCTGAGACACATCTTGAGAGGTGAAGTTCTGTTTATACACAGCTCCGGTGAGGGGAACAACATGAACGCTCTCCTGGAGACCAGAAAAGATGTACGAATACATACGCTCTCAGATATGAAAGAGGTAATTAGGACAGCCAGACAGTGGAAGGGGCAAGAGGAGCAGGGTACGACTTAATCAGTAGACTACAACAGAGTATAGTTAATAAGAACATAACAACACGTGCTGTTCAAGGCTATTCCTTTGAGCACAGCGAGGACAGAATGAGAGCTAAAGGCCACGTATAAGCAAGAGCCAACGTGCCTTACACACATCTGAAAATAGGGCAAACATTCAGAAACCGATGTCAGTGCTGTCTCTACCAGGCAAAGAACCGCATCAGCAAACGTTGGAAGGAAACGTCAGAGGAACTGATGCAGCACCAGACCACCAACCACGCCTGAAAATCCTCCCCTAGTAACCTAGAGTCTAGCACGGATATTTTGCTCTTCACAGGTTTTAATGATGCCCACAGAATGAATGAAACTGGGGGGTTTTTTTGCCCTTAGAAGTTCATGTGGGGAAAGCAATTGGTTAGCTGACAAACCTACCATAAATAGATGCTGCAAAGCTTGCAAGAGTCAAGGGCACTCTGACTTCAGATGAAGCCAAAGTATGGTTTAATACAACTAGTGTGAACACTTAATTGCTTTCAACTGAATTCAAGACCAGTCTGCTCCAAGAAATCATATCAAAACTTTTCCATTCATGCCGCATGGCTTACACCTCCAGCGTTTAAGATCTAAAACTGAAGTTTCTGCTAAGAAATCCAGAGCATGTCAGTGGAGCGGAGAAAAAAAGAACAAAAAAGTGAAATTTAGATAATACAGTCTTCAAACACAGATTGTTTGTCTCAGTCTTGTACTTTTATATCTGTTTTAGTCCTACAACAAGGACTCTGCTTGATAGGAAGATGGCTGTAGGATTCCCATGTCTTCACAGCAGTTAGCAGGGTGCTCTCTCTTCATAAAGCAGCATAAGGCTTGTTTTTCCTGGGAGTCCCTAAAGGCTTTTTCAGTGGACCTGGAAAGGAATGCAGACGCCCTAGTTCCTTCCACCAGAGCTTCATAAACAGGAACAATAACCGAGGTAAGGGGATACACTGTAAGTAGAGCGGACAGTCTTTGGAACCCTGCAGACTCCTATTCTCCCCCCAGCTGACAGCAGACCAGTTTCACCCAGTCCTCTGCGCGTCTACAGCTCTAGCAAACCCTAGCACAGGGAGAGCTCTGTGGCCCTAGTGAGTTCAAATACTGGTTATCCATTCCGCATCCCTCCTGCAAAAGGTTTCTGAGAAGTATCCATCAATAATGTATTTAGGCATGAACAGTCACCACAATGACTTCTTTTGAATCTTTTATCTGAATTTCACTGGTTTGGTAACTGGTCAGCATGACCGTTGCAACCAGCAAGCAAGCAGCACAACGATAGATGAAAAGGCATCAGTGAAACTCGCTGTACTCCGCACAAAGCCAGATATGTTTGAGGCAATGGCATGGCTTTTAGTTACAGAACTACTTGACAGGATCTCTTTTCTGAATAAAACATGGAAGCCAAGACTGAAAGCAAAAGCCCATCACCTCTGTCAGTTCCACTAGGCTTTGGTCAAGAACATCATTCCTGATGGGACAATCTCGATCGCGTACTAAAGAAGAAATTCACACCCTACGTGTTTAAGAGTTAACTTGTTACTATTGACTCAGCAAAACAGAGGTAAAAGGCCAACCTAGGTGCAAAGTGAAAACAACAGGAGCATGCAGCAGAGGCCAGAGGAGCAATGCAAATACAGCAACGGCAGCAGAAATGCACAAACAATTAATTTACAAACTTTAACTTTATTTGAAAGTTCAACAATTAGGAGAAAATACATTGCAATTGTTTTAGCTTTTAAAAGATCCCAAAATAAATTACGTAAAAGACTTGCACAGTTCTAAATATTAAAAAGATCATAAAAATTAATGGTGCTCTCATACGCCAGGATTAATCCTTTTCCCTTTTGACTATATTAAAAGTTGCCTGTGCAGGGATTACTGTTATAGCCATGCAGAAAACAATACAGTTCTCAAGTCTTGATGCCTCAGTAAAGCTTTACAGGCATAGGCACTTAAGGGCAAAAAGAGATCAAGAGCGATAACACCCCATGGAAGTCAGATCCCTACATTCACACACAATCTCTTAACTAAACACTACTGTAAATTGCAAAAGGTTTTAAGTAGGCAACATTATCCCGTATCAGCAGAATGGAAACTGTGCTGTAAGATTATGTAGGTTACAGTGGAGTTTAATTTTAATTTCAAGACCTTGACGCCCCCACAAGGTTACCGGTGCTTTCTGCAGAAGACGTATTTTTCAGAAACTGAATATGTTTGTATTGGGCCACACCGATTTTTACTGTCCTCAGCTCCCTGTTAAGGAAAAACGCCATTTATTAAAAAATTAACTTTTTCTTCCTTCATTGTTCCACACTTCTTCCTAGATTTACAGGTGCTGGCATTCAGATAGATAACCACAGAATGAAACCTACTGTCAGTTACTACTCCTTTCAACACATTCCATTACCGTATATAACGAAGCAACATTAAAGGCTACTAATACCATGGAGATTTCTCTTTCTACTGTACCACACCAAACTTTTGATGTGCGGTGAGCATATAGTTACCTTCCAAACTAAGATATGAGTTAAGTATCAGATTTTTGATGGCTATGAGATAGCAGACTCAAATTTAGGAAGCTCTAGACACATTTTCATTCATCCCAGAAAACATTTGCTCCTTTTCACCCTGATTTCTCGTCTGTGCCTTTGGGCCATACCAAGATACTATCTCCCCTTTATCCCAGAACTTGTCTATTGACAGCACTACTGCTAGTCATATGCTCAGTTAAAATGCAAGCCTTTCTGCTCTGTATCTACTTCCTAATACTTTCATATCGGTTATTACAGCACAGTGAAGTAAAAGAATGTCATCTTCGTTATATTTGCTGTCCAAGTATTTCCATATAGGATAACAGCTAGGTAGGTATTTGATATCAGTCTGGGTCCTGACACACTACATACTCCCCCCTTAATGTGTCAGGAGTCCTCAGCTCTAGTTATTCCTTTGGAGGTATCCATGAGAGAGTCACAGTTACAGACCTGAAATATTATACATAAGCAGCTCAGTATAGCTCTGCTTCTATTTAGCAAAATAACTCTTTTTCATAACACGACTTCCAGAAAAAGAGGGAAACGGGTCTCAGCTTCCGCCAAGAGTATTATATCCCTTTTATTCTTTCATATATTTTTTTTATCCTCTCTGCAGATGACAGTCATGTGACCAAAGTACCAGCAGGAAAAATTTACCCAACAGGAGTGTAAATGACATTCTTCAGACTGCTTTGGGTATGGAGAGCTCCCAAAACTGCCTTTGGAAATAGCACAGGCAGCATTTGCACTGATGGGATTAAATGAAATCAGCTGCATTGTGCTGCAGCCATCCAGTTTCCTCTTTGGCTGCAAGTACTGGCATGAACTATGATAACGACTTCCAAAAAGAGGGAAACGGGTCTCAGCTTCCGCCAAGAGTATTATATCCCTTTTATTCTTTCATATATTTTTTATCCTCTCTGCAGATGACAGTCATGTGACCAAAGTACCAGCAGGAAAAATTTACCCAACAGGAGTGTAAATGACATTCTTCAGACTGCTTTGGGTATGGAGAGCTCCCAAAACTGCCTTTGGAAATAGCACAGGCAGCATTTGCACTGATGGGATTAAATGAAATCAGCTGCATTGTGCTGCAGCCATCCAGTTTCCTCTTTGGCTGCAAGTACTGGCATGAATGTGACCAAAGTACCAGCAGGAAAAATTTACCCAACAGGAGTGTAAATGACATTCTTCAGACTGCTTTGGGTATGGAGAGCTCCCAAAACTGCCTTTGGAAATAGCACAGGCAGCATTTGCACTGATGGGATTAAATGAAATCAGCTGCATTGTGCTGCAGCCATCCAGTTTCCTCTTTGGCTGCAAGTACTGGCATGAACTATGATAAGCCTCAGATAGTGCTTCACTGAAATCAAAGAACTGAGACAGCTCTGACTTATTAGTATTCCGTGAAACAGTGCTGACTGATTTTTAATTTAAAAAAAGAAGAGGGAAAGGTGATAAGAATCTTATATTTAAAAATGTGCTTTCTGTTTACAGGAGTCTTTATTACTCCTTGATGACAAAGAGACCATTATGGTCTCCACAAAAACTTCACTGTGTGTTTGTAAAATTAAATTCTCCTTCCAGTAAATATCACATAATTCACCTAGTTCATCTTAAAAAAACCCCCACACATTGTAATGCCTATGAAGGATGTTGGCATGATAGTAGGAACTATAAGGTCCTCCTTCCAGTGAAGAAGGGGTACAGTCTGCGTAGAAGATCTGGAAAGACTCCTCTGACCATATTCTCCACAGCCCATTATGTCTTTGGTCCTTCCATGGACAACGATACTGTCAAATAGTGTTATTTCTGGATGCAGTCTTAATTTCTATTATAATCCAACCTATCACTTCTGTTCCTAAACCAAACAGCATGGGTTAGGTTTTGTATATTACACTGATCCCAATCCATATCCCTCAGAACAGAGCAGACTGCTGGAAAGCATGGGCACTGTCAGCCTCGTAGCTTTACCTGATGACAGAACATGGCTGTATATTGTGATCCCTCTCCCAGCCTCTGCGCACTCGCAGCGTGTGTGAATATATATATATGTAATTTATATAACGTGTACACATGCAAAGGCAGTACTGAGAGGAGAGATCAACAACAGCAAAGCAACGTTAGACTTAAAACCCCTTAGTGCTCAGTGTATGAGCAATCTAGTTAGATGAAAGTTTCAGTCAGTCAAGTGATGCAAGCTAAAACAGGACATAAAGCAACATAACTCCTACGTCAAATGTTTTCACATATTAGAGGTGACCCTGCATAATCCACTCTCATTTGTGATATGTAAGCAGAAGCAGCAGTCACAAGGGCATCCTTCACAGAACACTCCTGCTATTACGCACCTTCTCTGACAAATAAAAAAAATTGATTATGTGATCGGACATTTCAAATATGAAATCGTTCTATACATATCATAGCAAGCACACTTGGAAAAGGCAATAAATAAGAAAACCCTGCTGATACAGTAGGCCTAGAATATCCCTATGACAAAGAAATGGCTTTCTGAAAGCCTTTACGAGGTCTGCACAGACTGTAAATGTTCAGTATAAAAATAAACAAAAAGATATTAACATATGACATGGTAAAATTTTTAAATAGAGAGGACCTGGTAACAAATATAAGCTGTTCCCCTTCACGTACACAGATTGAAACCTGGAGCCATGTCATTAATCACTTTCCGATTAAACAAATTATTTTAGTCAACCTGAAACAAAACTTTGTTTGACATGAAATAGCTTAAGGCTTTATTGCTTTAATTTAAATTTGGCAACTGAATTTATAATTCTCATTGTGAGACAAAATATTGAACTGTTTTGTTTTAGTTTTTAAATCCAAACTCTCTCTGTGTACCAGGAGGATGAGGGTAACAGTCAGTGGCTTTTAGCCATAAAGTCTGCAGAGATGACATATCAAACAATTACTCATTTATGGCTGAAATAACGACAACGATCATTAAAAAGGGGCCGATATTCCCCCTTTTTTCATCTTTGATATGCTTTATCTTGGTAGAAATAGTTTTGCAAATTGAATAATTCAAGATCACCAGAGCCTGTTACCAAAACTTAAAAGTGGGTGTAGTTTTTCTTCATCTGCAACGACGGAGAGACAATGACAATATCATCTGAATCATCTGAGTGAGCTTCATCCACAGACAGAGGGAGAGGAGGCTGTGGTTGCTTCTCAGAGGACCTGGCTGAAATAATTACAAAGGAAACAAGGTCATCAATAAACACCACTGACAAAAACAAGCCCTTGTGGGAAGTGTAATACTCTCTGAGCCATTAAGTTTCCAGAATTACCTATTCTGGAATATGAATAACTCAGAGTTATGAATAACTCTGATCTATCTTTTTCTGCATATAACTATTCCTGTTCCTCTTTCATTAAAGAGCATGCATGGCAAGCGTTAAGTTGACATACTGACCACACATGATTTGTCTTACTGTCTTTAAATCTTAGCAAGTGGTTACACACCACAATGTAAAGCAATTCGATGCTGAAGCCATCTTAGGTCATAAAAATAAATATTTATTAGATGACCAGAAAAGAAAAAATTGACCCAAGCAAGCTTAAGCTAAGCAGAAAGGTCATAATGAGAACTTCAGTCAGATATAGATAGAGAAAAGGGAAATCAGTGAGGAAAAAAAGGAAGGAAGCTCTCAGTGACTGTCTTTCGTCCTTACGTCTGTAAAATACCAAAAATATTATTCACATGCTGTACTACTTTACTTAATGACAGTAAAAATGGTGACCACACCATGGGGCTTTTTTTGGCTTTTTTTTTTTCTTTTGCTTTCTTGCTGTTTTTCTGGATGCATGGTTCTATGCATCTCATCAATTCCAACATTTGAAGACATGTTCAGGGCATAAACAGATAGAACCCTAATGATTCCAGTAAATACAGGAAAATCAGAGGGATAAAATGGATACATACAAGGCCCCTAAGATCTGATGAGCAGAACCAGCAGCTTTGTATCCCCTCTGCAAGAGATCTATGAACTAAATGATGACAGCTATTAATACCTTCTCGCACAATATCCTCCCCTCAGCTATTAATACCTCCTAGAACAATATTCTCCCCTCAGCTCCACTTATTTTTCAGTTTCAAATATCAATTCTCTGAAGCAACTGTCTCCCAGAGAAGAGAACAAATCAAGACGACCTGTGGTGGAAAGAGGAAATAGACAAGTAAGAAGCCATACACTGAGATTTTGACACCAAAATGGAAGGGAAAACGGAGGGCACACAGAGAATATTACTTGGGGAGAAGAACAGATGTGCCATGGGACTCATAGTGAAATAAAAGGTTCCTGACATAGAAAAAAAACCTCCCGGTATGGAAGAGAAGGCATACACAGCGATGTGGAATAAAGCAAGGGGACCGCAACCAGCCCAGAAATAGAAAGAGAGTGACAGACAGAGAGCCTGTGAATGGAAAGGAGGAATGCGGGGAGGCCATTACATTGACCTCAACCTACAGAAGCAAAGAAACAGGACTTCCTAGTTAAGTGAAATTCTTCTCTGCATCAGTCAATGAATAATGTAAGAGTTTTTCAGGAAGATTTATAAGCCAGTAATTCTGGTGATAAGGATGAGCAAAGAGAACTTCCAGAAGCAGGCATGGTAACTACAAGATGCAACTCCAACAATAAACAGATATTATATATGAAATAGCTTAATATTTTCCAAATCACTCTTGATTATATCCTGCTCTTGATGTCTGAGATTTTCTTGTCCTCATCTTCAGTTTAGTATACTTCAGAGTGACAACTTTATCTTTGTGCTTGTGAAGGGGTAAGCACTGCTTAGAGCTAAGGGTTGTATGTAAATTGATTATGATTTCAAAAAAGCCTCAAATTAAGTTAACAGTTCTATCCAGAGTGGCTAGTGATATGCAGGGAGAAATGCTGCCCTTATTCAAGATTGGTGTGCATGTACAGAACATGTTCTTCCTTTCTGCCACTCCCCTGACAGAAAGAAACAAAACGCTAAGTTTCAGACTGAATTGTTATCTGTTCCATTTCATGGGAAGCAGCAAAAATGTCTTTACAAATCTTCAAGTACTGTCCACATTGTGAAGACAAGCAAAGCAGCACTGAACGCTATACCCCTTTTGCTATTTTTTTTGGTTTTCCTTTTTTTTTTTTCTTTTTTAGAAAACAGACACATCTAACCTGATGCAAACAATGAATTAAAAGTCTGCAGTGCTAGATCAGGATTATATAAATTTATTCTAGCAGACATATAAGGTTCTTTAAAACACATTTTCATCTTTCCCATTCCTCTCAAAATAATGCTGAAAGGCTAGTGAAATTAAATGACTTACTGCAATATATACTTTCACTGAAAGTTTAAGATCATTGCAAGATCTAAAGGTCACAAAATGCAAGTTTGGACTTGGGACAAATGAAGCAAGAGCTTGTTCAACAGCTGCATGATTTAAAGCTAAAGGAATTTGATTGCTTTAAATCACTCAGCTGTTAAACAAGCTCCTTGTCTCATGTACTTTCCAAGCTGCAGGATGACCAGTGAAATACATTACATCAAAAACCAGTTTTGCTAGTGTATTTTTGCATCGGTCATGAGCTAGGAACGACAGATGTTGGACTTCTAGTTAACTTGAAGCTGTTTAAGCTACATGAATTCAAATGGCAAAAAAACCTGCTATAACCAAACAGATTGCCGAGGGGTCACATTTCTTCATAGAGGTGGCATTTGCACCAGGGTGCTCTGCTTCCTTTAAGTAGGTTTCTCCCGATTTGTCTTTTGGGAGAGTTTGGTTAAACCCTCCAATGCACCAAGAGCTAATGCTTCAGAGCTACTTAGTGCAGGACAGTCTTTTTCTGGCAGTTGTGCAGTTACAGAAGCACATATCCACTATGCCTCTTCACAAGCTACCTAGATACATTCTATCCTCACCCCAGATTTTGAAAACGTCTCCCATATTTGTAAGATCAGCAGCAAATATAACCTGCTTTGCTCCCAGTCTCTCCTTTATCGATATTCACCAGAAAAGGACTGCAAGGAAGAAAGTTTGAATGCTTATGGTCTCCTCTCTACCCCTTCCAATATAAATTCTTCCAGAACTTCTTCGCTCACCACTTTGTCATCATAATCTGCAATAAAAGTTAGCTTTGGAGACTTCATAGCTAGGCAGTGACTGTGCTCTGTTAGTATTCATACTATTGCATTTACCAGACTAGCTTCATCTTACATCCTTCTTTGGGTCTTAGAAGCACTCCTTCAGAAGCACAAAGCACTTTTTTTTTTTTTTAAGTGGTTCTTTCTCTTTGGGTAGAATTTCACAACTGATTTACTCTGGGTTTAGACTGAGCATACCAATAATGACTACTGCAGTAGACCCCAGGCAAAACAGTATGCTGCAGCATTTTTTTTTTCTAGATACTGTCGCTAGACATAACTAAAATCACTCAAAACTGTAACATCTTCAGAAGCAAGTACTACCTACTCCTTCACAAAGTAGAATACGCTCCTGAATATGGAATACAGTAAAGTTTCTTAAACACATTTTCCTTCTCTGAAGAATAACTTCTGTATTCACAACCCTTGCAAATCCGGCTTATTCCCCATCTCATATCTTAGAGAAACAGCCTCAGCTGCTTCCAGTATGCTCTGTTTCTGAGCAAGTCTGCAGAGACTGTGTCAGCTTTTCACTGACAAAAAACAAATCAATGTTTCTCAGGTCACCCTCAAAGTTGCTCTTTTCTCCTCCAGCTGATCCATAAAAGCCTAAAATAACCCACTCTGGATAGAACTAACCTTTTTCAGTTTGTTTTTAACTCCTTTGAAGCTGCATGTCTAAGGCTGGCTTATCCGCATCATTGTTTTGCCTTTCCTACTCAGTACTAACATCCTCTTAAAAGCCTCTTTGGCTTTAACTCCTCTTCTCACAAGCAGCAGTGAAGAATTCAAGAAGGAAACCAAACAGCATAAGAGCCATAAAAAAAGACAGACATTTTCCCAGCTTGTATTATAGTAGTGCTAGTTGGCAAGGTTATCCAGGACTTCATTTTTCCCCTTACTGCAGCAACTGAAGATGCTGAAAAAACATGACTAAATACACATGGCTGACTAGGATGGTTCTTTTTACTAGATGTCTGTCCCCTTCAGAAACTAAGTCAGGACGGTGAAAACGCTCTCGGCTTGTCTATGGCTTTGGGCCCAAAACACAGTGGAAAGTACCACACTACAGCTACAGGGCTGGGGAGATTGAAAAGGAAGTAGAGAGGCAATACAGGGGAACACCATGTTCCTTGAATAATTACTACTCACACCAGAGAGAGACCTTCCAAACCACAGTTGTGAGAGATCTGCAAAGCACTGTGGGAAAGCTGGTACTGATACTGTCAAAGCTTTTATTTTTTATTTAAGGGACTGCACTTGCCAGTATAAGCAACACGTCATCAAATTAAAAGAAGACACACACAGAGTACAAGTATGTATTTGCACGTGTGTGCATGCGCAGATGTTCTCTATAAAATTGTGTGTGCACTCACACAAAACTGACATACTTTTGAACACAGAGGGAAATGAGATTACCAGGAAGAGATGACATGAAGATTGAAGGAGGTCTCTGGAGTGCTGCTGAGACTGGTTTCTTCTCTGTAATGTAAACTGCAGAATCTGCTTTCTCACTTGGTGCACCGGACACAGAGGGCCTGCAAAAAGACATAACTGCACAGCGTGAGGCACACAACAGGAATTGCAGTCTGTCTTCAGAGGGTATGCAGAAAAGTGTCTTGTGTTGCTAGCTTCCAAGAGGTAAAAGCTTATCACCTGCAGAAGTGAACTCAGACACTAAAGTGAGGTGACAACTATGTAACTCCTTGTAACCGTGGCAGCCAATATTAAAGACTTTTGGAGCAGTAAACCCTGGAGAGAAAGGAAGTATATTTCAAGACAGAGTCACGATAAACCTAAGCAGTAAGCAAATCACCGTGTTCTTCCTGAGCTAAGTCACTAGACTGTATGCAAGATAGTGTTCTAGCTCTTCCCTGTTCTTCCTCCACATAACCCTTAACTTTTACATGTTAGGGCTTCAGATTCACTTATATTAGGCGAGTGTACTAGCAATCAGTTTGACAGCAACTGTAATGTTCCCCCCCCCAAAGAGTAATTATTTTACTTTACTTTTCCTCATCGCTATGAAAGAGAACATGCATCAGGACATGGGAAGACTACTGCTGCGACGAGAAACCCTTTTAGTTGCATACCCTTTCCTCACGAGCAAGCTCTCCCTTGTCTTTGTTGGAACTATGGCCTTGTTCTCCTTCTCTGCCAAGGAACCCACACCAAAATTCTATAAATTATGACCCCTTTCCTGTAATAAAAACAATTTTGCTACTGCATGTTGCAGAAGTATCTCTTTCTCACTTACCTCTCCTCAAGCAGTACTGTACGTGCTAAGTGAGCCCTGAAAATGGACTGGATGAATGTCACAATCTCATCTTTTTCCTCACAATCAGAAGACAAGCTCAAGGAGTTTGACACAGGAGACATACAGGAGATCTGCAAAGCAATCAGATTAAAGAAAACTGACCTTTTGCAGATTGCACAGAAGCTTGACAGAAGCTTTCACAATTTTACTCCTGATTGTGAAAATGGTAGTAGAGCAAATATTCCCATCTTTCGGTCTACTGTCTTTAAGGTTCTATAAGACTAAATCAGCAGGAAATGCAAATCTGATCACCATACAAGCTTTGAAGCATCTGTATTCAATTAAGGAAAGAGCAGACACCTGCAAGGAAAGTTCATTTATTTTCCAGGAAGGAAACCTTTCGAAGTCGAAGGAGGTAAGGCAACCTTCATGATGCATGTATCTTCTGCTTGTATGAAGCAAAAGGATTCAGTCCTACTACATTGGGCCAGTTTACTGAAATAAAAGCGCATGTGAAGTGCAACTAGATGGACAACCTGGATGGACAATTACAAATTAACTTTAGCCTGCTAAAGGTCCGAAGGATGTTCATATAAGTTGGCAAATGATTTACAGAAACTAAATGTTTAATTGGTAAGGAATTTTTTTCATATTCAGAACTGAGCAATCTGGAGCGAATTTGATGTGACAGAGGACACTGCAAGTCTTTGGCTGAGCATGCCACATGCAAGACTCCTTTACTTTTCAATCCAATCAAAGATGCTTTCCAAATTCTTATTTCTGAACTTCAGTGACAAAGGTTTGTCTATTACTACAGTGATTCAGTAGTGAACACTTGAGAGCAAGTACAGTTTTCAATAGCACTCCGAATTAAAGTTAAAGGGTAGAGTTAAACTGGAGTTAAAGGGTACGTCATTAGCTGATGGGAGAACCAGAAAAAAAGAGGAGACCTAGTTACAGTCCATAATGCAGAGAAGTTATAGCTTTATTTCTAAGAAAAACTGTGAAATAAAGAAAATGGAAAGGGAGGCTAGGGAATGAGCACGATATCTTTCTGGAATTACAGTGGTGCTGCCAACTAGTGCATTAAAACATCACTGGGTGATTCAGAGAATTAAGTCTGGAAGTACAGTACTTTACACTGTAAACTAAACATAATGGGATACCTGGATACCCATTTGCCCCAATAATTACCTTGTTGTGAGATTTTGCATCATGCATCCCATTATTCAGTAACAGTTTCTGTCGAGCTAAATGTCCTCTGAAAGCTGCCTGAAGCATAACAACTGCCTAGCATGGAAAGAAATAAGTAGATATTAGCTCCTTTGAAAGATGGCAGCTATAAATTAAACCAAGAGTCCAGAGGGAAGAGGCACATGGGGAAAATAACTTTTCCCTGTGCAACGGAAACTCTTTGATGTCTTGACATTTTCTTATGTTTAAGGGATACACACACGTCCCCATTACTTCACAGGTACTCTGCTGCAATCCAAAGAATCCCCAGCCTGTGACAACCCATAAACACACACCTCCATGGTTTAAATTCAACCTGGGAGGTGTTCATGATTGATCTTATCAAATGCAGTTAAGTTCTAGCTGCCAACACTAGCCTATATTTCACAAATAGAGCAACATGCTCCCATATCCATATTAGATTCTGGCTGTCCAGCAGGCTCCGTGATGCTCTGGTACAATCAGAAATCAAGCCAAGTCTGGCAGACCATTGTGGTGATTACGCTGAATCATAGAATCATTTAGGTTGGAAAAGACCTTTAAGATCATTGAGTCCA